GGGGTGAAGCTCCGGCCGGAAGCACACACCTAGCCCCCCTTGTGCGCCTGAAAAAAAAATTATAAAGGGAAAAACAGCAACAACACCGAGTTCCTGCGTTAAAAAAAATAGCCCCGCGCTGGCCCCGCGAGGCGCTCTCCCCCCACAGCAACCTTCCAGAGAGTTTCCGGCAAACGCAGCTGCCGCAAATGGTGCGCGGCACTGCCGGCTCCCCTTTTCCCATATTTGCTGAACCTTTACACCCGGCGGGAGAACATCCCAGAAAATAAACGTGCTCAATGGATTACCCATATTTGTTTATATCTTAAAAATATATCACGCCATCACTCCTGCCCTACAACACAAAATAAAAAAAATATCAGAGCCGTATTAGGAAGGAAACAGGTAAGCCAACCCTTAAAGAATGCCTCTCGTCTTGGCATAAGCGGTTCTTCCATCCTTACCCTACCCCCACTCCCTCCCTAGAGAAATTTACAACAAACGGCTAATGAGTTAGTCAACAAGGCCAACGACAACATTATCTCCCTCTCTCTCTCTCTCGTTTTCTTCTTCACTTCTACACCTTCGACGCGGCATGGAAGTGGTCGGCCAACATGCGAGTGACGCAAAAGGTCAGACCCTTTGTGAAAGGCACATGCAGAAACTCGTTTGGTCCGTGTGCATTGCTCTTGGGCCCAAGCACACCCGTAACCACAAACTGGGCCTTTGGGAATTGCTTGATAAGCGTTGCAATAAACGGAATAGAACCACCCACGCCCTGCGTTGCAAATGGTTTGCCAAACGCTTGCATGCTTCCTTCAGTTAGGGATTTGACAAGCCACGGCTTGAGTTCTGGCGTTACACATCCATACGCCGCACCATCTGCTTTAAAAACAACCCTGGCACCATATGGTGGGTTTGCCTCAAGCAGTTTCTTCAATGCATTGGAAACGGTTTCGGTGTCCACCAAGGGTGGGAGACGAATTGAAAGCCGCAGCGACGTTTTTGCGCGAATCACATTGCCTGCTACGGCGGGATCAGGAAGGTCGGCCCCCGTCACGGTAAGGCAAGGTTTCCAAAAGTTACGCAGAGCCAGTTCGGCATTGTCACCTGGTTCGGTAGAGACACCAGGTAGCAGCGCAAACAGTTCCTTGAAATTGACTTCCTTCATGACTTCCATGTCCTCCACAACAGATTTCGGAATGACACAATGCGCCTCAGGGAGCTTTATTTCGCCCGTTATGGGATCTTCAAGGCGATCAAGCAACTGACGGGCAATGCGGAATGTGTCTGGGACCACACCACCAGAGACACCGCTGTGCATCCCTTCACTCAGGGTCTCAACAGTGAGGGTGCTACAGAGAGCACCTCGCAGCGCAGTGGTTAACCACACCTTGTCGTAGGACATAGCCCCACTGTCCAGGCAGATAAGAAGATCCACATCTCCGATACGGTCACTGAGCCGTTCCATATAATAGGAGAGATCGGGACTTCCGCACTCTTCACACGCTTCAATGATTACGACGATTTGTCCATGCGGTATTCCGTGCTTTTGTAGTGCCACCAAGGCGCTCACCGCTGAGAATATCGCATAGCCATCATCGGCGGCGCCTCGGCCATACAGTTTTCCATCGCGGTACACAGGCTTGTAGGGATGAAGGCCCTCACTCCATGGAAGAAGAGGCGGCTGCTTGTCCATATGACCGTAGAGCAACACCTTTTTTGTGGGTTTCGTGCCCTCAACCTCCAAAATAAGAAACGGGGTCCGACCCTTCTCTTCCAGAAGCTCATATTTTAGGCCATTGATGCCCTGGCCCTTCACCCATTCCAGCATGACATTCATGGCTTTTTCCATGAAGCCGTTGGTGGCCCATTCCGGATCAAAAAGAGGCGTCTGGTTTGGAACTTCAATGTATGCGGAGAGAGCAGGCAGCACCGTCTTGTCCCATTCTTCATTGATGGTTCGCTTCACAGCCGCCCAATCAACCGCCATTATGCCTCAATTTCACAACTTTCTATCGTTCACTTGCTTTTTTAATTACCACCGCACGACGTATGACGATGGCAAGAAGAAGGCACCAAGACAATGTAGAGGCACATACAAGCCCACCATGCACACGCACAGAAACCGCAAGTCCTTGCAACCAGGCAAACAAAACCACAACTTAGACGCCAACACGTCTCTCACCCTTTACCTCCATCGCGCGCAACACGGAAAGCCCCAAGGAGTTCCTCAAGCAAAAATGTTGTATTTGTCCAGTACACAACTGTGAAATTATAGGTGCATTTTTTTTTCTTTAACAGAATCACTTTATCCTCATTTTTCCCAAGAGGTCGCCATCAACGAGTTCCGCATCATGTGGGGACACCGCCAGCGCAACGGCACCAGCGGCCAATCATTCTGCCAGTCGGAAGCCGTACTTTCCAATTGGCCATAGACAACCGGGCTGCCCTCGCGAGGTCGCCGTGCAACTGGTGCATTGCCGAAGTTCCATATCCGTCAGCAAATTGTACACGCCCTCTCCATTCCCCTCCAGCACATTGCTTAATTCCGGCAGGACTTTTACCCGCGGACGGTGCCGCACAGTTTTGTAGCCCAGTGCAACTGTCTTTGTCCCGCGGTTGCGCAGCGCCCAAAGCAGCCCATACTTCTCAGTAAGCACCTGTTGCGCTCCCACCGTAGTGACGCATGTTCTAGGCAATTCGGTTGCCCCACTGATCCGCACCCATTGCTTCGGGCGCTGCCAGCCCAAGCGCAAAGCCCGCACACTGCGTTCGCACTGTCACAACGCCTCCTGCTAGGGCGCTCGTGGCCCTGTGGAAGATTGTGGGACCACACATCCTTGACCCATGCGCAGGCG